AGGACACGCCAAAGAGAGGCCGTCAGAATTCACTATGCTGTGAGGACACGCCAAAGAGAGACGGTCAGAATTCACTACGCCGTGAGGACACGCCAAAGAGAGGCCGTCAGTATTCACTACACCGTGAGGACACGCCAAAGAGAGGCCATCGGAATTCACTATGCTGTGAGGACACGCCAAAGAGAGACGGTCAGAATTCACTATGCTGTGAGGACACGCCAAAGAGAGGCCGTCGCTGGTAGATCTGCCCTCATTTATAATCGTCACACGTAAAAAAAGGGGAATTGCCATTAATTGTAATGCCGGTGCACAAATAGGAAATCCAGCGCCAGAGGGATGTAAACACACACACACAGAGACACACGCACACACACACACACAGAGACACACACGCACACACACACAGACAGAGACACACACGCACACATGCACAAAACCTCCCTACAAAACAAGACCAGTTATTTTTCGTATAGTATACTTCTCACATGGGAATATTCTTGGCTTACAGTTTGTGAAGAGCCCTCACATATAGCAGATGATTTCTGTCATGTCACAAACATAGGGGCAATGTTTTAGAAAGATATCAATGAAAAAATCAGATTAAGTCATCTTAAAAAGAAAGTATTTATTAAACAGCTATCACATGAAAATATATGACAAAAAACCCGCTCAACATTTCAAAAATAAAAAAAAATATGACATTTTTTATTTTTTATATAAGTAATCTGCACATTTTTAAAAAGTAAAAATATTTTAGTGTATTACCTGTTTGCACCCTGGGTGGAATTCTTATGAGTTTGCTTTCTGCTTGAAAACATTTCAGAATATGTTTTTTTTAGCTTGCTGATAATGGCAAGTATTTACATACAAGGGTCTACCTTCAAATTCTGGGCCACTGACAAAACGTCATCTTGCCCTCACCACACTAAGTTTGATATATAAATGTACAAATTTGTGGGTCCCAATCAAGTGCTGGGCTCCACGAATCTGCCAGGGTATCCACGCCTCCCTGATGCCCCAGAATATATGTATATGTATATGTATGTATGTATGTATGTATGTATGCATGGATGTATGTATGTATGTATGCATGGATGTATGTATATGCTTACTCATTGCCAGGGCTCCCAACGCAGGTACAGCAACATTATACAAAATGAAATATTGCAGAACACGCACACACATACACGCACACGCAGAGGAGAGTCCAGAAAAAACTACCGCTTCAATTTACGTGCTCGTGACATATCATTGCACTTCCGTGAAAACGGGAATACCCAAAATTGAAAGGGACCCTCCTGACGCACACTGGCTGTGAACAACGACAGTAGGATCGCTTTGTGAGCATGAGAGCGAATAAAGACACACCTTCAGACTTATTGAATTCATCCTCTGCTGGTCTGCAGAGAGAAATGGCGGGAGGCAGGGGTGGGGGGGATCCACTTTATGATTTTTTAATATATATTTTGATTTGTTACTGATTTTATTTATTTGTTCTTCTAATACCACATTTTGTTTTGATCTGGGACCGTCTCATCAAATGTTATCATTGAATGTAACCAATGCATTGATCTATAAATACATGCTGTTATTTACGTTTTTACATAAAAGCTTACGCAGTTTGCTTTTTCATTTCCATTCAATTTCATACAACTAATAAAAGCAGCAGCTTGTAGTCTACATTCATTATTTGTATACCGTCATATTTATGCATAATCTAGGTCTCCGTAGCCCTACTGGGTTGCAGCTAACATCTCTAATTTTAACACAATGGGGGGTGGAAAAATAGAGAGACCCAGTTTTCTGAAGCTGTTCCATATGGATTCATCCGTATGCTTACACAAGTCCTTTCCTCCGGTTTACCCAGGGAGGGGCCGGGCCCGAGTCCCGTCTGGTCGTGTGTGGCTTGCGTGTCCCCCAGTATAAGCTACCAAAACGGCAAGGTGTACCAGGAGTCTACACTGGTGCCCAGACTTAAAAAAGGACAACGTAAAAAAGTGCACAGTGCATAAGCACACTATAGCAGCCAATTAATTTCAGCCACCCACCATTTACTGTCAAGTATCTTTTTAAGACACAATAATGTAAGAGAACAAAAAATAAGTAGCTGAACTACTGTGGCACTATAATGAATTGTGTAGGATCTTCAAGAGGCGCTCAGCAAAGACGTACGTGTGCTTCCCCTGTGCCACGCCTACCCTGAAGGACAGCCTGGATGAGCTGTGCCCACCCCGTCACGGAATGGGGGGGGGGGGTGCTGAGGACTTGGCCAAATTTAATTATGCCTCCCGAATCCTTCTATCACAAATCTGTGCCGATTCAGACGCTGTTGAACCTGCTGCCATAGCCCATGACTGTCCTTTGTTCTCTGCATTAGCATTTGCGCTCTGCATAGAAAAATTTCTTTCACCAAATGTACAAAAAAAAAAAAAGGAAAATATGCTAATATCACACTCACAGATAATCAGGCTCCATGGGGGTGGAATGACAGTCATTAAATCAATAAACACTTTTGTTATTAATATTGATGGTTCCCAAAATGATACATAATATAGATACAGGGAGTGCCCAGTGCCTGCCCTTCTGTGGGCAGAAGCGTTAGACATTTACTAAAAAGGTCTTTGATATGTATATGTTATTGGAGTAACTCTAGTTCCAGGTTATATAAATAGTCATTACATAAGTCTTTGAATATATTGGTAAATTGTTTGCACACATGCCTTTAACATCCAATGACCATGCATTAACTGATGTTTCGTCAGAGTGATATGACTTTCCTCAGAACATTACCCTTTAACATAAATTACTTCAGCACTCCAATATCAGTTTAATTACACATATACAGCTTAGTATCTCACCTACAACTCATCACCTATAACCTATAAACCTATAAACCTAAAGTAACAAGGATGTGTTTGCTTTAAAATGGAAACCGACAGATGA